CCAGGTTTGGAATGAAATCATGGGGCTCTGAGTTCCGCACCAGGCCCCGACATAAACACTCTGATTGGGGCTAATTATAAGGGCCAGGTTGGGAACTGGAGCCTTCAGAAAGCTTTGGCTTTCAAACAAAGGCCTAGAGCTCAGCCCCCAGCCCAGGCTGGCTCCTCACTAGGCCTCATTGAGAATGAGGAGACAGCCCAGGCCACTGGCAGTCAAGATTCTAAACTCCAAAGTATGAGTATGTTCCCTGTCCCAAGTTCCATCTTGTCCATCTTGTTTGCTTTCACCTTAGCCCTTCCAGGTCTCAAAATCTGGGGCCTTCACAGAGGACTTGGAGGAGCATCTACAGGGGAAGGCAAGGCAGCTGGGGAAGGCTCTCAGGCTGGGAAGCTGGGGATGGGGCAACTTGCAGGAGGGGCTGGGGGAGGCGAGGGGCAGGGGGAGGCGAAGGGGAAGCCAGCTGTGACAGCCCCAGTCCTAATTAGCTGGCTACAAAGCTGCTGGAGAGGCCGGCCCACCCTCATGTGTGCCCTGCTCACTCAGGCAAGTAAGACATTTGTGTCCTAATCAGAGAGGGAGACAAACTCTGCCAACCACCATCTTGAGGAGCCAGTATGCAGGCTGGCATGCAGAATCAGAGAGAAAACTGGCATCACAAGAAAACTACCAGTAACAATACATCCTGTGATCCAGTAATTTTCCTTTTAGTTTATCCTAAATAGTTGGAAAAGTGCTATGATTTATTGAATGTCTATTCTGGCTGGCTCTGTCTGTATCACTGGATCTAATCTCAGTCTTGCCTGACAGGTACCATGGCCTTTTTTACCCATAGGATACCAGGTAGAGGTTAGAAAACCTGAAAGGCTCACAACTGGTCTGCCTCGTGACCAGGCATCTCTCCACACACAGATGTGGCAGGGCTTGTCTGTCTTCTGTTCCCCCAAACACACATAGTATTGCATTCATTACACCCTGCTGTATCTTGTTACTGGAGAGGCAGAATTCCATCATCCCAAAAGAATCATCTAGCTTGGGGTGCTCCTGTTTATTGTATGCTCAATCTCTCTCTCTCTCTCCTCTCTCTCTCTCTCTCCCCCTCCCCCCTCCCCCCCTATTGTTTTGAGACAGGATCTCCCAAACTGGCCTCAAATTTGCAGCCATCCTCCTGCCTCAGTCTCCCAAGCACTGGGATTCCAGGCACGAGTCACCATGTCCAGTATACGGATCCTCTTTCCATAGCACAAATGAGTGACACTGGGGAACCAGCTGAGGGGTGAGGGGAATGGCCAGAGGATCCAGAATCTTCCTAAACTTACATGAAAGATAGTATGTTCCTGTGGACTGACCTTTTTTTCCCCTAGACCTAAAGATTTTTCAGATTCTTGGAGAGTTGGTACGCTCCACCACCAGAAATTTTTTTATTTTTTTTATTTTTGGTCTTTTTGAGACAGGGTCTCCTTGTAGCCGAGGTGGGCCTGGAACTTACTATGTAGACCAGGCTGGCCTTGAACTTACAAAGATCCACCTGCCTCTGCCTCCTGAGTGCTGGGACTACAGATGTGTGCCACCACACCCAGCACCACCAGAAGTTTTAACTTTCGAGTGTGAGGGTGATATGGTGAGCAGTAAGACGCAGAGGAACAACGCAACACAACAACGTGGCAGGAGTGTGGGCTCACACACGTCCCAAAGCACCTAGATCAGAATCCAACCCAGATCAAGGGTACCAACACCTCCCAGAGACTTTTTTTTTTTTTTAATTTTATGTGTATGAGTGTATTGCCCGCAAATAGGTAAGTGCACCCGTGTCATGCAATGCCCAACGAGGTCAGAAGAGGCTGTCAGATCCCCTGGGACTGGAGTTACACAGTTGTGAGCTGCCATGTGGGTGCTGGGATTCAAACCTGGGTCTTCTGCAAGAAGAACCAGTGTTCTTAACCGCTGAGCCATCTCTCTAGCCCCAACTTTTTGTTGTTTTTTTTTTTTAATAATCCAGGAGTTGACAGCCTGCAATTCCCACTGAGCAGAACCCTATACTCAGTCTTTGAGGATATACAGAAGAAGAATTGGTCTTGGAAAACTTCAGTGGCCTTTTCCAAGGCTAGCCTTTCAAAGATCTCTTCAAGGACAAAGAACCTGTAAGAATAGTAATGTTTTTGAAAGGGAAGACAGGGACTTGGGAGGAGAAAAAAGGCAGAGTTTAAATGAGTCTCAAGCAGAGAACTGGCAGCAGCAAGTAGTCACGTTGCTCCTGTTGAGTCCAGGTAAGGTGGAGAAAGCACCTGTGGCCTGTATCCTACTGGTTTTCCTACTCAGTTCTACCTTCCAACAAATGTAAGTCTCCTTCCAGAAGGAAGGTCCAACGCATTTATAAGTGGTTCCTGCCTACAGGGGCCTATAAGTCTGCAACTGTGGAACTCCAAGCCTTTTAACTGGGTTTGCCAAACAATGGAGCAAACTTGAGCTCAGCTGGTTTACCTTTGGGGTTCCCTCTAAGGCCTTTCCTAAGCTAAAGTCCTCTTCCTCTCAGAATTGTTTCATTAAAATGAGAGTGGGATGTAGGGGGAGGTTCCCCACACTACTTTCTGTAAGGCAAGTGAAGGGTGTGCATCTCTGTTTCCATAAGAGGCAAAAAAATCTTGTAATTTCTCCTCTTCCCCACTTTGTTCATTTTTGTAGGCCCTGTACCCCCATGTTGGCAGGAGACTTTGAGGTGGAGGAGGAGATTGGGATGAATCCAAATTCTCTCCCCCTACCCTTTCACAGAAAGGAAAAGGCATTTGTCACCAGTTCATCATCTCTTTGAGTCAATCACAGAATGGCACAGAGCTAAGACACTGGTAGTCTTAGAGGTGGGGGAGGCTTTCTCCAAATTTTCAGCAGAGACCAGCACCCCCATCTCCCTATGCTTGATCCCAGGCACTGGAAAATCCCACCTTACACCAGGGTTTTCGCCTTTATTGCCAGAAGAGGTGGTCCTAATTTGTGCGTACTTAACTCTTTCCTAGAGCCCTTGTAGGCTTTAGAATTGTAACAAATGGAGTCATGGGATGGTGACACTGCCCTCTGCCTTACCAGTTTGATAGTTGAGAGAACTTTGTGTTGAGACAGTGAATTTAGCACAAATAGTTCGAGGAGAGACTATATACTTTGGGAAGGGGGCTCTGCTCAAGTGCCCAGGCTTTAATACAACTGCAAACAAAGCCCAACATACGACTTCAATTACCACCAAACATTTCCACTTCCCCCTCCCCCAACACAAACTAACACACACAAACACTTCCAAGTAGGAATTCCAACTTACTTTCTCCCTTGTCCCAAAGTCAACCAACAAAAGATAAGAAATACAATTTTCCCATAACCATTTAGCTCAACAATTGAGGCCTTGGGGAGGCAGTCCACTTCACCATCTGACCCCCAACCAAGTAAGCTAGGGGGACAGGAGGGAAAGACTAGGTGTGGTTTGGTTAAACTAAAAAAAAAAAAAAAAAAAAAAAAAAAAGTTACAATCCTGTTAAATACAATTAAAGGGCTAGATCTCTGAAGATAATTAAATGCACTTTATTATTAGGATTATTAGCTTTTAATTTGCACTATTATCAAGCAATGGGAAAGAGGGCAAAAATGAAATTATGTGGTATACTTGTCTTCAGATTAATCCTTTAGCATTCGAATTCTAAAATATCCCAAATAGTTGAGGGAATCGATGTATGTTGCAAACTGAATTCTCATATCACCAAATACACTTTATACATAATTTCTCAGGCAGCTAACTTAAGAAAAGTGTTCATTTTATTTGTGGGGGAGGGGGCAGGGGAAAGATAAGAAACATCTGTTATAAACAGTCTATCAATCTTATGACATAGAATGAGGGGTAAACACTCAACTCCACCCCCACAGCCACAAAGAGTCTGCCCAGAGCCCTCTTCTAAAGCAAACTTAACCACTGTTTATTGTTTTTTTTTTTTTTTTTTTTTTTTTTTTTTTTTTTTTTTTAAGGCCAGTCTTTTGTCAAAAGAAAACTAAAGATCCCTCCAGCCCATCCATCCACACCCCCCCCAACCCATCCCATTTTTATTGCTTTTGGAAAAGGAAAAAACACACACACAAAAAACCCAAAACAATAAAAACGCACACATAACGCATAAACCACCCCCAAAAACTGTTAACCTGGATGTCGGAAATTTTCCCATGGGGGGTGGGGGCAGACCCCAGGATCTGCAAAAACATGTTCAAAGGTTAGTGTGGTCTCCCTAAAATCAGGGAGAGGTGATGTTCTTAAAGTGGTGTGTGTATTGTGGGAACGGTGTCAAAACACACTTCACAAAGCGTTTTTCGCCTTTCTCTGCATATTGGGCAGAGAGGTGAAAGAAGACGACCCGGGATCTTCGTGCCCCCAGGAGAGTGGGCCTGGGTATGAGGCCATTCCTCCCATCCCCGCCCTCTCCCCACCACCAACCTCCGGTATGTTTTTCCACGTCTGCATCTCGGTTGGGAGGTTTCCAAATATCGAGTGAAGGAGACAGGACACATGAAGGGGGAAAAGGACGGTGGGGGACGGGGAAATAAAACAAAACGAATCCAAGGCTTGTTAAAAAAAATATCCAACAGCTTCCACAGGCCCCGCGTCGACCAGGAGGCTCGCAAATTTGGCTTTTATATAAGTTGAATGGAACTAATTCCCAACTCCTTAGCGCCAACAAAAACAGCGCGCAGGCTAGGTGCCTCTCCCAGCAGGCCGAGCCCTGCCAAATCACCAAAAAATTCGAACCAGAGCACAAGGCGGCTTTTAAAAGAGCACTTAGGAAAGGCAAGACCTCCCCCACCCCCCACCCCATTCTTCAGTCCTGGTGCCCTCGCTGCTCTTTCTTTTTTCCATTTTCCCCCCTCTTAAATAGAAAATATATAATTAAATTTACAAAGACTATTTACAATTTTAATTACAAACCTGGTTGGAGGGGATGTTGGGTAGAGTTCTTTTTAAAAAGCGACCTAAAAAATGGTTTTGATTGTTCTTTATTTAAAAAAATAAAATAGGAGTCCATGGGGCACCCCCTCTCCCGGGTGAAAGGACAGGCACCATGCGGTCCGGAATTGGGGGGGACCCATCTGGCGAGGCCACTTCACACTGTGGTCTCGCCATGCCGGCTGTTGGTGAGGCGCGTGTAGAACTTCCTCCACGAGTGCAGCGTCTTGCCGGACCAGATCCAGAAGCCCGACGTGATGCCCACGATGAGCGTCATGAGGTATTTGATCATGTAGACGGTGAAGTCGGGCGACATGCGCGGGGTGTAGTGCGCCGGGCACGGGATGGCCAGGCTCTTGCAGTGCTGGCTCACCCACGAGCGCTCCCAGTGCTCGCGGAAAGCCTGCTCGTAGAAGTAGCAGGCTATGACGATGGTGGCCGGTACCGTATACAGCACCGAGAAGACACCGATGCGCACCATGAGCCGCTCCAACTTCTCCGTCTTGGTGCCGTCGTGCTTCATGATGGTACGGATGCGAAAGAGCGACACGAAGCCGGCCAGCAGGAAGGAGGTGCCGATGAACAGGTACACGAAGAGTGGGGCCAGCACGAAGCCCCGCAGCGGGTCCAGGCTGTTGAGGCCTACGAAGCACACGCCGCTCAGCAGGTCGCCGTCGATCTGGCCCATAGCCAGGATAGTGATGGTTTTGACGGCCGGCACAGCCCAGGCGGCCAGGTGGAAGTACTGGGAATTGGCCTCGATGGCCTCGTGGCCCCACTTCATCCCCGCTGCAAGGAACCAGGTGAGCGACAGGATCACCCACCAGATGGAGCTGGCCATGCTAAAGAAGTAGAGCATCATGAAGAGGATGGTGCAACCCTCCTTCTTGGTGCCCTGCACCACCGTGCGATAACCATCCTCCGAGAAACGCTCGTTGCACACCACGCGCTCTTGGAGCACGAAGCCCGCGATGTAGGCCACCGACACCATGGTGTAGCAGCCGGAGAGAAAGATGATGGGCCGCTCTGGGTAGCGGAAGCGCTGCATGTCCACTAAATATGTAGTGACTGTGAAGAACGTGGAGGCGCAGCACAGCACGGACCAGGTGAGGATCCAGAGGCGCGCAAAGCGCGTCTCCTCCTGCGAGAAGAACATGGAGCCGTCGGGCCGTGCGGGCTCGCAGGGCGCCGCACAATCGCGTTCACCCAGGAACTTGTAGCTGAGATAGGACGGCACCTTGAGGACGCGCGGACAGTGGAAGGGGTGCTCCAGCGTGGCGTAGCGCGGGGGCGCGCCGCCACCGCCAGGGCCGCCCGGGGTGCCCCCCGCGCCAGGCTGCAGCCCCGGCGGCGGCGCGGTGGTGAGCAGCGCAGGCGCCCCGTCCTCGGAGTGATTCTGACCTACGCAGATCTGCTCCGCGCCGTGACGCGGGAAATGCTCGCAGCGGAGGCGCTCCGGCCACTGGAACCCGAACTTGTTCATGAGCGCCTCGCAGCCTTGGCGCGCGCGCTCGCAGATGGAACGGCACGGAGGGATGGCCTGCTCCAGCACGGTGCACACAGGGGCGTACATGGAGCACAGGAAGAAGCGTAGCTCGGGCGAGCACTGCACCTTCACCAACGGGTAGAACTGATGCACCTCCAGGCCCGCGTCCTCCTGGTTCGTATGGCCCAGAAGGTTGGGCATGATGGTCTGGTTGTAGGCGATGTCCGTGCACAGCGGGATGGAGATGGGCTGGCAGAAGCCGTGGTCCGGGATGGAGATGCCCTTCTCGCCATGGAACTGGGCCGGCCCCGCGGCGGGCAGTAGCAGCAGCAGCGGCAGCAGCAGGCGGGGCAGGGCGCTGAGGGGCCGCATGCTGGCCGCCGCCCCCTACTCGGCTCCGGAGCGCCCCCCAGCCCCCGCCCCCAACCCCGAGACCGCGCGCCTTCCCCGCGGCCGCCCAGCTGCGGCTGCCGCCTCCCGCGCCTCAGAGCAAACTTTACTCGCAGCCTCAGAGTTGGGGAGGCCGGGCGGGGGAGGGGGCAGCGCACCCGCCTGCTGGCTCGCCGCGGTCGGACTGAGCGGCCAGAGACCCCGCGCGCCGCTGTCCGCTCTCCTCTTTCTCCTCCTCTAGCCCCTGGGCTTCCTTTCTCCCCTCCCTGGTCCACCCAGCAACTCCTTTGTGCCTCCTTCAGCCCTCACCTCGGCCTCTCCGATCCCAATTAGTCGGTTTCAAGGGGGCCCCCGCTGGCCGCCCCGCCCTCTCCTCGGCCCCCCCCAAAAGGGATTTTTGAAACCGCCCCGTCGAGCTTTGCACCGTCCCAAAATATGCCCTCGGCCAATCAGATTTAAACTGGAGGACCAGCCCTGAGGGCTGGATTGGTCGACCACAATATAATGAGATCAGAAACCAGATGCCAACAAAACTCTACCCCCCTCCTTTTTACTTTTTAAAGAGACAAGCTATTATTATATTAAGAGCTGTTTGCCCAGTCCGAGATTTCTCTGGAGTCGCCTAGGCGAGACCCGGAGACACTCGTTTCCCTAGAGCTGTGGCAGACTCCGGAGGCTCAAGCCGAATCTGTCGCCTTCCCGGAGGCCAGGAGCTTTAAGGTAGAGGGGCTCTTTAAATCTTTGCTCCCGCCCCACTCCTCAAACCCCACCTATTTCAGACCAGTTTTTAAAATTCAGTGAAAAAAAAAATCTCGTTTAAAAAAAAAAATGTTTAAAAACACTTAAACTAACAATTTACAGAGACTTTTTCTCTCAGCCCCTTCTCAGACAGTCCAGGTACCAAGTTTCACTTCCTTCTACAACTAGGACCCCCAGAAGTTGGCCCACCCCTCCCCCTACACACACCCTTAAGTAACCCTCTGAAAAAATGAGAGCCTGCCTCTTTAAGAGGCTCTTAAAGGGGCCAGGACTCCGGGGTGTAATTGCCCCGTAGCGAGCACAAAGGAACCCATTATGGTTCTTTGTGTTCGGTGGCACCTCAAAGTGAGAAAACTCTGGAACTCCCAGGCCAGGCCTGGAGGTTAGGGCGGGGGTGAGGGCGGGGGTGGGGGTGGGGGCAAGGTAAAGGTGAACCTAAAGCTGCGGTTTCTACACTCCCTCCCTTTTCCAAGGAAAAGCTTAATCATGCAAAGTATAGTTACTGAAAGCGGGAGGTCTTAATCGAAAGTTAATGATGGGGGGTGATGGGCATTTTTGAGTAAAGAAACGTTCGTCTGACGAACGTTTAGGGGAATTTGCCTTCCCCCTCCCCACTTATGCTCCGCCTCCTAAAAGTTTCCAGATATGGTCTCCGGGGAAAAAGGGGAGTTTTACCCGAACATTAAGTGATTCCACACCAGAAAGATTTGGTGTGTGTGGCGAGGCGGGGAGGCTGGAGGTTGTGGCAGATTATGCCTCCTCCCCGTCTCTCACCTGGGTGACGGGTGGGGTGCTGGGTAGGGAAGCTGCTGACTTAGAAAAGATCCTCTCCCAACACACACCAGCGTTCTAAGTTTGGGGAGGAGATTTGAAGGAAAGGGCAATTTGCATGGAAATCTCTGTGTTTGGTACTGGTGAAGAATCAATTATTTCTGTTGTCTCTCTGGAGAGAAAGAGGAGGGGAACTTAAAAAGAAGAAAGAGCACTGAGTTTAGAAAGCCCTTTGCGTCTCAGTATGGGCCAAATCCTCCCTGCTTGGAAAGCTGTTTCCTGCTTCAATCTAAAAAAGGATTGCTTTCAGACATAACAACAAAAAGCAATGTAAAAGAAAAAAGAAGGGGCGGGGCACAAAGAAAACTTTAAGGAGATGGATCTGATTAACCTGGGCCTGACAGGATTCAAAAGGAGGTCTTTTGTTTTTCTGACTGAATGGATGACTACAAATTTTTATCAGATGACACCTGCAATCCTAGCACTCAAGAAGCTGAGACAGGAAGATTACTAGGGCAGCCTGGGCTGCAGTGTGAGAATGAAGCAAAGGAAAAACTTTTCAGGGTCAGGGTCTTTTCAATTTGAAAACCATGAAAATGTCCCTTATTAGAGTCTTTTTTTTTTTTTTTTTTTTTTTTTTTTACATAGAGTCTCACCACATAGTCCTTGTTGGCCTTGAACTTAGTATGTAGACCATCCTAGCCTCAAATTCGCAGAGAATGCCCTGCCTCTGCTGGGTGCTGGGATTGAAGGCATGTTCCACCATGCCTAGCTTCCTTATTAGAGTCTTGAATAAGTTACCTTTTCCCTCTTTCTAAGAAAACAGTGTTCCTTTGAGATCAGGGGATATGGGCCAGTGAGATGGTTCAGTGGGTAAAGGTGTTTGTTTTTTTGTTTTTGTTTTTGTTTTTGCCAAGAATGAAGACTTGAGGGGGCTGGAGAGATGGCTCAGCGGTTAAGAGCACCGGCTGTTCTTGCAGAAGACCTGGTTTTGAATCCCAGTACCCACGTGGTGGCTAACTGTCTTACTGTAATTCCAGGGGACCCCCTGCCCTCTCTGTCCTCTGTGGATACTGCACGACATGGGTGCACTTACACACATGCAAGCATAACACTCATACATATAAAATAAAAATAAATAAAATTTTTTTAAAAAATGAAGACCTGAGTTGAATTTGTTGAAAGTCTTCCACACAAGCACAGAAGCACACAGCACATACAATAAAGCAAAGGTTAAAAAAAAAAAAAAAGATGGGGCTGGAGAGATCACTGGCTGCTTTTGCAGAGGACTGGGTTTTGTTTCTAACACCCAAAGGGTAGCTAACAACTATCTGTAACTCCAGTTCTAGGGGATCCAACGCCTTCTTCTCGCCTCCATGGGCATTGTATGACACAGGTGTGCTTACATATATGCAGGCAAAACACTCATACACATAAAATAAAAATAAATATTAGAGATATTTGCCTTTTGCTGCCCATCCATCATCTCATTTTCCTTCTGCCCCTTTCCTTCTGCCCACAAGTCTGTATTCCAGAATAGCCTGGGGATGGGAAAGATGTTAGCTCTGCTCCATGGGGCCCACTCAAAGCCTCCGCATTATTAGAGCCAAGATGTGAGCCAAGCTCTAGAGATAAAGTGAAAAAAGGCAGGCTCCCCTACCCCATCCAGGAAGCTCACAGTCTGATAGGAAATTGAAAGAAAACTGCAATGTCTTTGGTTTGCTTCAAGACAAGCTCATTTTCTTGCCTCAGGGCTAGGCCTGAGTGACAATTATCCCTGGTCATTAACCTGATTTCTTAACAAACTACAGGAGGCCTATAAGAAAAGGATGTTAGGGAGCTGGAGAGATGGCTCAGCAGTTAAGAGCACTGACTGTTCTTGCAGAAGGCCTGGGTTTGAATCCCAGTACCTACATGACAGCTAACAGCTGTTTGTAACTCCAGTTCCAGCAGGACTCCAGTTCCAGGGGGATCTGACAGCCTCTTTTGTTTTCCGGGCATTGCACTGACACAGGTGCACTTACCTACATGCAGGCAATACACACATACACATAAAATATTTTTTAAAAAAGGATGTCATTTCTTATTTGACAAATGTAGCATTTGATTTTGTAAGAATTAGTTTGACAATGCCAAGCATGGTAGTGCTCGCCTTTAATCCTAGCACTCACAGAGGCAGGCATATCTCTGTGAGATCGAGGCCAGCCTGGTCTACATAGTGAGTTCTAGGTGGGCTGGGACTATGGAAACCCTGTCAAAAAAACAAAACCAAAAACAAACCAAACAAAAAAGAATTAGTGTGATGGTGTGATGGTACACTTCCATAATCCCTGCACTTGGGAGTCAGAGAAGCCGTAGGCTCAGGAGTTCATAGCCGGCTTTGGCAATTACAGCATTTGAGGCCAGAATGTACTATATAAGGTTCTGTATAATAAGGGGATGGGGCTATGCAGTGATAACCTGTCTCAAAAAAAAAAAAAATGGTGAGGGCTGGAGAGATGGCTCAGTGACTTAGACTTCTGATTGCTCTCTCAGAGGACCTGGGTTCAGTTCCTAGCACTCACATCAGGCTGCTCACAACAGCCTATAACTCCTGTTCCAGGGGATCCAATGCCCTCTGACCTCTGAGGGCATATGCACACATGTGGTGCATATAAATTCACAAAAGCACACATGCATACACATAATAAATAAATGAATCTTTAAAATTTTTTTTTAGTTTGGGGACTGGAGAGATGACTCAGCAGTTAAGACCACTGACTGCTCTTGCAAAGGACCTGGATTCAATTCCCAGCACCCACATGGCAGCTAACAACTGTCCATAACTCCAGTTCCAGAGAATCTGACGCCCTCTTCTGACCTCCTTGGGCATTGCATGACACAGGTGCACTTAACCCACATGCAGACAATACACTCATACAAGTATAAAAAAAAATTTAGCTTGGGGGCTGGAGAGATGGCTCAGAGGTTAAGAACATTGGTCGTTCTTGCAGAAGACCCAGGTTCAAACCCCAGCACACACATGGCAGCTAACAACTGTAACTCCAGTCCTAGGGGATCCGACAGCCTCTTCTGACCTCCGCCAGCATTACATGACACGGGTCCACTTACCAACATACAGGTAATATACACATACACATAAAATTTTAAAAATAAAGATTAAAAAAAAATTTTAATTTGGTCATTGTTCTAATCAAGTTCCTAATTACCCTATTAGCTGTATGGCTTCATGCCAGGTGTGGTGGCATCAGCCTTAAGCACAGTACTTAGGTTGGCAAGTGTTCTACCACAAAGCTCTATTCTCAGCCCTTTTTATTGTGAGACAGGCTCTCACTTAGTTAACCAGGCTGACCTTGAACTCACTCTTTAGCCAGATAGTACTTGACCTTGTGATCTTGCCTCAGCCTCCTCCATAGCATCAATTGCAGGCATTTGCTTTGTTTTGCACCCACACCTGGCTCTTAAAGCTATATTGTTTTCTCTACTATGCAACCCTTAATGTCTGTAAGAATTGTATGCAATTATTCACTTAACAAATATATATAT